GCCTACATAAGAATAAAGGAAGAGAGAAAGAGAAAATAAGGAAGAGTAGTTAGGTGGAAAAAAGAAGTTGAGGAAGGGCGATCTCAAAAAGGATGTGCATCATGGTCACAGAGGTTTACAGAAAAGACACTTTGGAAAATAAAGAAGTCAATTAAAATGCACACCTTACAATCAACTCTCAATCACATGTACTAAAGGTCAGCCGCGGTTTGATCAATTCTCCCCATTCCTACCAGCTCCTAACCGAGTTTGCCTTTCTCTCATCACAGAGTCTGGAGTTGAAAACTTGACAGAATTCTATTGGCCAAAATCAACAGATGGTAATTGGTTGACAATAATGGGAAGAGCAAATAAAAGCAGTATCGGGAAAAAATATATATACTTCTGACAGGTTCCAGATTTGCTCAGTTACCAACCAGATATTATCGAGAGTTGGTTATACAAGCATTTATTTATATATGTGTGCGTGTGTCTATATACATATTTAATAAATATGTATGTGTGCATGTATATACATATTTATTATTTTATAATAAAAAGGCTATTTCCTCAAACTTTTCCCCTTAAGACCTAGAGTTAACTTAGGAAACTCTGGAGTTTATATGATCAGCAGGATTACTGTTTACAACACCCACAGATAGGCATAAATGCACTCAGATTATATAACTCAGATAACTTTAATACTTAAAATTAAATACTTACATTTTAACACTATTAAATATGGTTGTTCTATAAAACTCTGGCAACTGATTCATAGCCCTGTAATTCTGGCCAATAACAAGAGTCAGTTATTAATAATAATTCACTCTGCCTACTGATACGAAATTTGATCAAGGCCTTTAGCTAGTAGCCATTTGGAATAGGAACACTGCACATTAACCTGGGAAATTAGCTTCTACTGCAGAGACTCTGACTTCTATCATTTTTAGGAACTAGACCCAAAATAGGTCCCCATGATGGAAAGAAATCACAGTACATATTTTTTTTTATCATTTTTTTTTTTTTTTTTCTGTGAAGAACTGGCTTTGGGTAGGCAAGTGTCTTAGCTTCAGCAGGTATCAAAATCTACCAACACTGCTAAGCTATCTACAGCATGGCCCTATAATCATGAGGTGGAAAAATGGGGTGGAGTGTTCTGGCTGTAAGAAATGTGAACATCTGCGACCATAGAGATTTCCGGTTATAAGCACTAATTGAGTCATTTAAAAGTTTGGCAAAACACAATTTCTCCACATAATATAACTACCAGCAATCAAGGGTGGCATACAAAAAATAGTAATAAGACAACTAATTTAAGTTTTAAAGATTACAATGGATTTTTTCCACTTTGGTCAAAAGAAGAACTATATCATGCCATTCTTCACATTACTGGGGGGAAAAAAACAAATTGCAGTCAGTATTCAAATTATTTCCTGGCAAGTCCAGAATATTTTTTCACTGAATTTAACAGTTGACAAATGCTTTGAACAGAAAAGATCTGTATTCTCATCCAAGTTTCTGTGGGAATAACACTGCCTCTTCTTCCCACCTTAAAACACTACAGCTGCATATTTAGTATAAACACTTTTATTTTTCTCCACTTTCCAATATATTATAAGTACCTCCAAGTATTGAATACAAAATTGTTCCATCCTTCAGTACGACAGGTTGAAGTGTGCAACAAATATGCAAAAGCATGTAAACAAAACTGCTTACCCAGCCACACAACCTTCCTGTGGTTCTTAAGACAAAATACTAGGCCAAAGAGAAAAAGAAAATATTTTGGGTATGTAATTCCTTCTTAACCTCTAAGAATAGGCTTCCATCAAAGAAAAGGGTGTCAATGCCTTTGGCTTGCCGAGGTCCAGTCCTCCCATCAGCTCTCTCAAGCATCCACCCAGCCTACAAATGTTTATCAAGTGTCTAGGACGTGCTGATTGGCTTCCCTTCTGCTCTCCAGCCATACCTGATAGGATGCCGGCCAGGTGCTAAGCACAGGGCAAAAGGACAACCATGTAATCCTTAGGTGGTGTTACTCTAAGATGTTACTCTCAGCATTTAGTCCGCGGATCATTTTCCTGTTGATTTTATTTGGGAAATAAGTTTTTAAAGAATATATTTCCAAACAATGTAGTTTTCAATAACCCAAACTAAAATCAAAGATAGTTTTATTTTAGATAATTTGGCCACAAAAATAAGAGGCTGTGTAAATGGAGAACAGGCTTATTTAGTGTATTTTCAAAGTGAATCAGAAGAGAAAATAGGAAACTATGTAAATGGTATATTTTCAAATAGAATCAGAAAGGCGTTGGCCTGAAATAATAAAATAATAAAATTAATGATAGCTATTCACCTTCATTTACTCATGCATATTTAATTCTCTCATTATATTTCACAAGAAAAGCTAAGCCTTAAAATATGAAAGAAATGTAAACATGAATGTATACATTTCCCCCAAATTTATGATTTAGGTATATGCAGACTTAGGAATCTAGAAAAAAATATTAATGAAATAAATGCTAAATCTACAAAAGTTCAATATATCTCAACTATTCTACCCGTCATCCCAAACTCTCATCTATCTGATCGCCTAACATCCTCCCTCCTCTTGGACTTCCTCTACCTTAAGTTTAAGCTCAACCCCTATGCTGCCTCTCCAGTGAAAATACACCCTAGAAGTCTGGCTTCTTTTTGGGTATACGTTCACTGAACTTACTCCCCACATAACCTCTTCCTGATCACACAGAATCCACTAAAGCCTCTGTTTCCCCAACAATTTCACCAGGTTCTGTCTTTGCAATCACATGGCAGTAGCAGAGGCACAACTAAGCTACAGTGATCTCACAAACGAGAAAAGAACTTTAGTCATAAAATTTAATTCAAGTTAAGGTTGTATTTCATGCAGAGGATTCGAGCACTGTAGAAGTAAGTCAGAGGTGTTAAGTGAGCCTCACAGTTCACCTTTGGTTTGTTTTTTGTGAACTAATACACGTATACAGTAAAATAGTTTCTTTATGTTAGCCTTATCTTTCTTTGTGCATTTATTAGTAAAATTACCAAAATAAACCTTGAGATTCAACAAATTTAGTTCTAACTCAAAGTATATAATTCTTATAAAAGGGACAATTTACAATTTGCTAATACTACACCTGCAAATGGCACTTTTCAAAGTACAATTAATTAATCTCTTAGTGCTTAAAAGCCTTAAAGGGAATAACTTTTGAAATCTCAAATATATTAAAAATCAAGTTATTAATGTAAAAATTTGCTAGAGAAATCAATATGTTCTATAGAAGAAACACCATGTTTTAATAAAATACAGTAGACGAGAAGTAGTATTATTTCTGAAAATAAGGGAACTTGGCCCACACGAAGTTATCTTTAAAATAAAAAACTTCTCTATTCAGAAGTCATCATTTAAGATTAAGCAAAATAATGGAATAATAAACATTTATAGGCAAGGAAATTACCATCATTCTGATACGTTAAGTTCTATACAATTTTATTTTTCACATAGCAGGATTATAGTTATCTGAGTATTTAATATATTTACAGAAACTCATATTTACATATGCAATGACAGAAGTCCACAGAAAATCTCGTTAAGGTTAAGATAGGAGCTTCTATTGTTAAGCAGCAAACATTAATTCTCACTGAGCAGTAACAAGAAAACAAACTCAGAGAGGTCAAAATTAAGAAGCTTCATGATATTAGTGTTTAATCACAAGTAAAACCTTTTTCATATTTAGAATTCATTGTTTTATAAGGTGGTGAAATTAATCTACTGAAAATGGTTTCTTTGGTTACAGATGTAGTATCCTCCCATGTTTTTATGTCTACCACAAAATAGTCTACCTAGGAAGAATTTCTTTGGGTCATTATTCTATTAAGCTTAGTGTATAATATCATGCCATATCCATTATTTTTCTGAAGACTTTGATATAAAAAGTTTTAATATATATTCTTGCTACATATAAATGCAAAGGAAATCTCACCAGGCCAGATTATACAAAATTTACATATTAAAATTAGCACCACCCTTTCCAGGAAGACAGCATTTTAAAACAAATGAGGGAATACCACATCATTATTTATTACAACAAACAGCTCAATGATAAAGATAGGTAATTCTGATCACAAATAGAGGAGTCCAAGACTTCCAAAGTAAGAACACCTGGTCAAAATACTAGGCATCCTTATTTTAATGTTACTTTTAAAATATGCATAGAACATTTTAAGATGTTTGCTACCATGATTCTATGTCAAAACAAATTTATGTTACATTTTCAAATGAAAGTGAACTATGTCTAATGACAATGAAGAATGGCTATAATTATCATATTCGAAAGACTAGGTCATTACCTGTATTTTCAAACGTTCAGTTCAGAATATGAAGTATTTTAAGTCTGAAAACATACATGAAATTATTATTCTTATTAAAAAATATATGTGGGCCGGGCGCGGTGGCTCAAGCCTGTAATCCTAGCTCACTGGGAGGCCGAGGTGGGCGGATTGTTTGAGCTCAGGAGTTCGAAACCAGCCTGAGCAAGAGCGAGACCCCGTCTCTACTAAAATTAGAAAGAAATTAATTGGACAACTAAAAATATATAGAAAAAATTAGCCGGGCATGGTGGCACATGCCTGTAGTCCCAGCTACTCGGGAGGCTGAGGCAGGAGGATTGTTTGAGCCCAGGAGTTTGAGGTTGCTGTGAGCTAGGCTGATGCCACGGCACTCTAGCCCAGGCAACACAGTGAGACTCTGTCTCAAAAAAAAAAAAAAAAAATATATATATGTGTAAGAGCTATATACTTATCCACCAGAAAAGTAAATTGAAATGTGAAAGTTTATGGAAAAAATAATTAAGCCATTTCAAATTTCAATAGGAATGAAATACATGATTTAAGGGGAAAATAGCTTTCATAAAATACATAGACTATTGACACAGATATTATTAAAGCAAAAATATTCTTTTGTTTCCAGCATTTTATCACTAGTAACAAAAAATAAAACGTGTACTTGCCTAATAAAACTTTGGCATCGTCCACATCAAAATCTCCATCACCATCAGCATCATAGATTCCTAGTTTTCCTACAACAGGGAGGAATGACAGACATGGGAACAAAAGGGAAAACTAATTTAATAAGGTATCACCACTTATCGCAGCCCTGCCCGTCAGTCATAAATGTTACCAACTGATGCAATTCTCTGCTCTTTTAATCCTGCAAAGTGATGCCAAATAGATATCTTACCTAAACATGGTAGGCAATTCACTTAGAGATTCAGGAAAAGTTCACCAAACAAATTCTAAAAACTGACATAATATGACAATACTCTGATCTAATCACTTAAGAATAACTTTTTGTTACACTGCTAAAAATATTTTAGGTCAAGTTTTGAACATATAAAAGAAACAATATCGACGCATTTCTAACAGTTATATGAAATTTAATGTCTCTAAAGTATGAAATTTTATCAAACTATTAATATTCAAAGCAAAAGAAACAATCAACCCAGCCTCAAAACTAAATATAAATAAATTAACATAGAGTATTAGTTACAAAAATAAAAAGACAGTTAATTTTATATCTTACAATGATGATTTACAACAGAAATATCATGAATCAACCTTTAAAAAAAAAAAAAAGACCTTTCTGGAAATAAAGTATGTAAAACTGGATGCTTCCTGAAATTATAATCTTAAACTTCTAGTTATTCTACTTACAAACTTAATCGGCACTGGCCATCTATTACTAAGGGGAAGAAAGGGATTAAAACAGGTATGCTGAGAAGACCATACTGCCAAAGCCTTTACTCCTCAAAATTAGTAAACATGTATTTTAAGGCTTTAATGCTTTATCACAAGCAGCACTGTCATGTTTAGCATTACAAATAGTTAAATACATTCAACCTCCTAAAAAACATTCTAAAATCATCATGACTTACAACTCATCATTGGACAATGACTGTGGAAAACTGTAATAATGTACAGCAATATTTTAAATGCATTCACAAATATCACACTAAAAAAAAACTGGCAGCACTGTTACCATTTCTTTAGCACAAAGCACACTAAAAGACTGCATAAGAGCAGGCACAGGATATCTATGATCAATCTTTATCTTCCCAGAGCCCTTGCTCTACTTACGAAAATAGTTAACTTGCTGTGTAGAAGTCTGACTTACCAAGCACACACACATTTAAAATGATAATAATAATGAAGACGTGAGGATGCTGTCATTTCTGTTGCTAAGAAAACGAAAAGTACTAATGTGCAGGTCAAGGCTATACACGGTACAGAGCTCAACACTAAAAGACAGAAAATACTACCTTTCCACACAAACTTAAAAGGCAAAATTGGCCCTAATACACACATTCTCCAATGCAGGTGATATCCTAAATTAGTAGAATGAGGTTTTAGAGACAAACATGAGTAGACTTAAAATGTATCTCCAGTAGCCTACCTTGAAGTACCTCTGATAAGTTATAACGGAAGTCCTTTGCTTTGGCTGCATGCATGTAAAAACACGAAAACTGTTACTTGTGCTGAAAGGTATAAATATTTAAAATCCCTTCTCTCATTGAACATGCATGCATTCCCTACAAACATATCACTGTCAGTCAGTAAATGCACAGATCTACTCAGAAGTTTGTCTCCAGACTAAAATTCTCTAATAGTCTATTAATCTACCCAGAGATATTTTCCTTAAAGCAAAAAAAAAAAAAAGGAAAACTTCAATGAAAGACAGATTATATGTAAACATATTTCGTTATTCTTTGCCTTTTTCCCCCCAGAAAGATGGCTATAATCTACAAGTAAAGCAGAAGCACAGGAGGTCCAACGGAAGGGGGATCTTCTAGGCAACACCATGTATGTAGACAAGCAGCATTTTTGCCAGTGACAGGTCCACGTCTGCCACCGGCTTACTAAAGAGAAGGGCCGTTATTCACAATGGCCAAATGGTGGAAACAACCCAAATGTCCATCACTGATGAATAGATGAGCAAAATGTGGTGTATCTGTATCATAGAATATTGCACAGCCATAAGATGGAATAAGTATCGAACCTTAAAAACATACTAAGTGCAAAAAGGCAGACACAAAAGGCCACATATTGCATGATTCCATTACATGAAATGTTCAGAATAAGCAAAACCACGTACACTGAAGGTAAATTAGAGCTTGACAAGAGACGAAGGAGGAGGGGATTCAATGTTTTTGGGAGAAGGGGATAATGGAAATATTCTGGAATTAGATAATGTGAATGGTTGCATAAAATGATGCAAGAGCATCTAAGAGCCACTAATGTGTATATTTTCAAATATTTATAATATAGAATTTTATGTTATATGAATTTTACCTTAATTTAAAAAAAGATTTTTGGAGAAGTGTTAAAAAAAAAAAAAAAAAGAGAATGTGACTCCAAAAATAATAATCATTAACCTAAAAACTTATGAAAAACTGCAGTGATTATGGGGAGAGAAAAGAAAACAGGAGAAAGGAGGAAACTATCAGAAGTACCACGGCAACTTCCTCAGAACAGCATACAGACCACATCCCCTGCACCCACCCATCCCAGCACCTGTATCCATATACCCCTACCCCAACAGAGACACGGAGGGGTGTGCTTTTAGGGTTTCGCGGATTGTGTGGCTCTGATCCATTAGTAGGTCATTAAATAAATTCGGTGGCTTATCATCAAGTATTTTTAAAATTTATAACAAAATTGAATAGAAATTATTGAGTACTGCATATGGTGAAAATGGGTACTGATTCATAAGACTCCCTGTGTGACAGACACACATATAAAGCCTTTTTTTTTTTTTTTTCTTTAAACTACAGGTCATGTTCAAAGAAATTCAAAAGCTACTACTTCAAGACAACCCTGATCACATCCCTTTTTATTCCCAGTCTATTGCGATCCACTGAAAGGCTACAGAAATTAACTACCAAAAAGATGATAACAAATATTTAAGATTACTAAGCTGTTACTTACTCTCTTATAAATTCACATAAGAAATGACATAAAAATTCTTACCTAGAACCTCCTCATAATCAACAAGATCAAACCAAACAACAGCTACTGATGTCCAGACTCCCAGCAATGCGATGACCATAAACCATGTGAAGAATGAACTTCCAGAAAGTCCTCCTTTCTTCCCGTTCTTGTGTCCTCCATGTTTTGTCTCTGTTTAGAAATAAATATAAAATGTCATTTATATAAGAAGAAAACACTTCATTGGATACCCCTTTTCACACTAAATTGTTTCTCCAATAATTTGATAGTATGTACAATGGTAGATCATTTCAAAAATACTACTTTTACTTAAATCTCAAAACATGTTATGCAAAATAAAGATTTTTGAAAACAAAAAGGTTTCTTCTTAGACTCAACACAAAACAGCCCTAACCCTGAAGTAATGCAAGAAATAAACTACTGATGGGCTAATGATTTTTTGAAAAGAAAGAGTTGATATAACATGTATATTCCTTCCTTCCAAGTTCTTTATCAAAACTACCTGAATATCACTTCCTTTAAAGTTTAGAGCTTATCAACAACTTAATGAAATCATGTAGAAATAGAAATGTAGCCAAATTTTTTTCTGTCTCATTTTGTTTCTGTAGAATCTTAAAAACTCTGCTATAACTGCCACAGAAGAAAATATCTACCCCCAAAACTACTCCATATTCTTAGCCAAAGGGAAAGAGAAAAAAAAGAAGGAAACTATTTATATGAAAAAGAGTTCAGGGACAAAGAGAAGGAAACAGCACAATCCATTCCTACGCCTTCACAAGACCCACTGGGGCCTAAGGAAACAGGAAAAGGCTCATTCACAACTGTCTCAATGCCGAAAGCAGATCTGTAAACTGCTGTCCACCAAAATTGCCATTTTTCACATTTGATATGTTTAACTCATATCCCTTTGTAAATATTCTTCTTACAGCCAAAAATAAACAAAACAGTAAGTCATGTGATATTAATAGAAAATAGTCAACATTGTCCTTAAAAGGACATACCACAATATTCGAATTTTCCTTAAGAAGGAATACATATTATTAATATATAAATATTAATAAATAAATTAAAAGGATATATCACATCCCAAAATGCCTCCGAGAAAGCAAAAAATTTATCAGCCAGGTGGAAAAGCAAGACACTGCCTTGTATTCACGCAGCACGTAGAACTGCTGTTAAAGTGCTCTCACAGGCACTGCTGCATGTGATCCTCTCTGTGTCTTATCAGTGCTCCTCCTGAGGGCATTTCTGGATGTTTATGCAAGACAGTGCCTCATCCTGTATGAGGGTTTTTCACACTGCAGGACATCTGGCATCCACGCTTTCCCCTGGATCCAAAGGCAAGTAGCTTCCAAGGCTCACGATAAATAAAAACACCCCAAACATCTCCGCATGTCCTCTATAGGGGCAGTGCCTGGTTGAGAACGACCGAGGGTAAGCACAGGAATAATTACCTGTTTTACATAAGAAAGATGACATGATTCTCCCAAAGTCACCAGTACAAGTTGGGTAGAACTAGGAACATACCCTGACCTGAGTTCCTTGATCCATAATGAGTTGGCCAAATAACATGATTTCAGAAAGCCTCACTAGCTCTAATCTAGAACTTGCCTTTTGACTTCTAAGTCCAGCTCTAGTGAATAATACTAATAATCTCCAGTGACTCAAATCAAAAATATACTGCCAATATAGTCCTCTGGAAGAAAAAATAGAATTCTTCTTTTTAAAAGAATATTATGTATTTTTTAAACCCACATTAGATCAATTTTTCAAAAGGGTCCACAGAACCTAAATCAGTCTGAGTATGTATGTGTGTACACTCAAACATATACACATATTTATCTATACACCTATGTCTGAGTATATATAGTTATGAAAACTAAATAAAACAAATTTCATTCTTAAAGAAAAAAAATAATTCCATCTTCTGGTGCTCTTTAAATATTAATATACCCATCAGAAAGTGTCAGATTTCTAAATAATCATATAGTAAATTTACAAAAATATGCTTACCAAATAAGATATGGCTACCAACTTTGTTTCTAACATGATCTATATAAAGCTGGCTATACAAAACATAATTTATACATTAAAAAATACTTGCTGGGCACAGATGACATTGTTGCATATTAAATCAACTTCAAACAGGCATCACTGTTTCATTACCTCAACACAGCCATGGGAGGGGAAGACTAGGTGAGAATTTCTGCAATGCTGGTGGTGGAAATGATGATTTCCAATATTTTTTGTGTCTTATGCATATAAGTTATAAAAAAAATACAAAATAAACTACAACTAAAATTTAAAAACAAGAAAAGATTTATAAAAGTGGGTAGGCTTCTGTGGGGGCAGGGAGGTTCCACAGATTCAGCAGCCATATTATACATTTAATTTATTACACTTTTATGAAATTTTATAAAGACTTTTTTCTAAGACTGTATTTTTTAAAAACCTTATTTCTGCATAACATATAGATACATGCATACATACCCCCATTTGTGTACAACAATAAGCATAAAGATGGAACAATAGTTAATGACTAAGAACTTCCTGCCTTGGCTTCTTATTGTAAGAATGAAATTTAAATTTTTATGTAAAACGAATACTAAAACTTCAGTAAAACAGGGTTCTTGTCTTATCTTCTCTTGAACATTCTGTAATTGACACCAGTCTCTTGTATTTTTCCTCATTAACTGGAAAATAGCTAGGCTAAATATAGTTCAGCCTTTCATTCATTCATTTAACATTTATTCCATATGTGGATGCAAGAAAAATTTTACCCAATAATTAAGTTTTAAAAATGTGTACATCAATAAAAGTATACTCAAGATGATACTATTCAGAAAAAGCCTATGATGAAATAGCTAATAAAACAAAATAATAACTTGAACTCGAAGTTCGGTTTTCTGTCTCTTTTTTTTTTTTTTGAGTCAGAGTCTTGCTCTGTTGCCTGGGCTAGAGTGTCGTGGCATCAGCCTAGCTCACAGCAACCTCTAACTCCTGGGCTCAAGCGATCGTCCTGCCTCAGCCTCTCAAGTAGCTGGGACTACAGGCATGCACCACCATGCCCGGCTAATTTTTTCTATATATTTTTAATTGTCCAACTAATTTCTTTCTCTTTTTTTAGTAAAGACGGGGTCTTGCTCTTGCTCAGGCTGGTCTTGAACTCCTGACCTTGAGTGATCCTCCGGCCTCAACCTCCCAGAGTGCTAGGATTACAGGCGTGAGCCACCACGCCCGGCCTCTGTCTCTTTCTTAAAGCAGAAATGAGAGAGGAAAGTTTCTGAGACTCTCGAAAGTTACATATCATTTATCCAAGCTAATTCTGTGACACTCATATAAGTTACTGACCTGCAATGACAAATATAAGGAAAAAGAGGAAAAAAGGCTCCCTAAAAAAAACCTAAATAAATGCATGCACCAAAACAGAGAGAGAGTGGGAGCAGGAAGGAGAGAAAGAACCAAACACAAAGTAAAATCTTCACCAAGAATCTGTTTATATTTACTTCAGACAAAATTCTAACGACTTCAATCAACTTCGTAACTCAGTGCACAAAACTACAGAACAGAGTTCAGAGACAACCTAACACAAATGAATCAAAGCAACGGAAGCGCTGTTAGAGGGAAAATCTGTAAAGGGCAGGATCCCGCAGCAAGAGCAGACCGAGAACTAGGAAAGCAGGGGGCAGCGAAGCCACTTGTGATTGAAACTTGCAGGCAGACCCCTTAAAATAATCTGTAGTACAAGTTAATAACTGATATTCATGTTGATTCTGTCATTAAAATATCCATCTGTTTAAGAATGTAAAAAATGTATAATAGGCTGGGCGCGGTGGCTCACGCCTGTGATCCTAGCTCTCTGGGAGGCCAGGCAGGCGGATTGTTTGAGCTCAGGAGTTCGAAATCAGCCTGAGCAAGAGCGAGACCCCGTCTTTACTAAAAATTAGAAAGAAATTAATTGGACAACTAAAAATATATAGAAAAAATTAGCCGGGCATGGTGGTGCATGCCTGTAGTCCCAGCTACTCGGGAGGCTGAGGCAGGAGGATCACTTGAGCCCAGGAGTTTCAGGTTGCTGTGAGCTAGGCTGACGCCACGGCACTCTATCTAGCCTGGGCAAAAGAGTGAGACTCTGTCTCAAAAAAAAAAAAAAAAAAATGTATAATAAATCTTAGAAATATTTTCATTCAAACTAGTTTTTATGAAACAGATTTATTACCTTATTACCGTTAATATTTACTAATTCCATAAAGGAATAAAACACTAAATTATAGATGGGAGTCTTTCCTAAGACACCTTTTTTGGAGAACTTTTTTATCAACAGCCAATAATATACTCCTGATATGTCACTTGGTAAATTTAGTGGGACAGGTCCCAAAGGGCGTATCAGTTTCTGTCCAACGAAACTGACGAAAGCACAGTAAGACAAACCCTTCAAGAGGGTTTATAACTCCCTAAGCAAACCTGGAACCAGTACTTTGTTCCAAAGGTATTCTGGAGGAACATCTAGGAGTTGTCCTAATTTTCCAAGATCAGAATAAACCTAAAGTCTTCTTTTCATTTTCTGGTTCCATGTTCAACCTGTAGTCCCAGGGATTAGTCAAAAAGAGTTTTTACTGGAGTTACGAATATGGCAAGAACTATGTGATTCATTTTTTTAATGTTGTCCCATCAAAAATATGCGAACTCCAAATCAGAAAATGTTCCCACAGAGTACCAAACACAGAAAATTATTATGGGAAGCATAGTCCCAATAGTGCAAAATGAAGCCTAGACTAGGGGCAATAGGTAACTTTATTTGTTCGAGGAAAGGGAAAATAGAAGATGTACTCCAACATCCAAACAGCAGTCAATTACTTAACTGGCCTACTCCTAACTGAACTACCATTAATGTTAATGATAAATAAATCAACTATTTATAAGTTTTAGTTAGCATTATGCTTGGAATTTCATACTTACATATAAACTCTATACATTTAACGTTTTAAAAACCATAAACACTGTCAAGTCACTTATCAAACTGATTGTTTTTCCATGCAACAAAATGTCACCCTTTGGGAACCAAGAACTGCTAAAAGTGAACAGCTGAATTTACCTAACTATGTAGATTACCTAATCCATGGTGGGGTAGAAATGTCTTCTAAAGGAATCAAAAGTCAGATACACATCTC